TAGGAAAATAACAAAATTAAATATATGGTTTCTATTAAGTGCATGTCACTTAATGTATGTAAAGTGGAAACACACACAGAGTAGTCAGCACTCTCTTGATAAGATGATACTACATTTAAGCACAGATGTGAATAAAGTCAGAGAATGAATACTGAGAAATCTAGGAAAGGAGTTGTGAGAAGTGTGAGCAACAGAATAAGGACCATGAGGCAGAACCAAGCTAAAGGATTCAAGAGCAAACAGAAGGGTCACGTGATAAAGTGAAGTGAGAGGTAGTTTTTGGAGATGAAGTAGTCAAATAATACTGGGTTAATAATAGATATATTTAATACAACATAAATGATGAACTATTAAGATTAAAAATACCTTCAGAAGTGTAAAGTATTATGGCAATCAAGAATATATTTAGATACACTTATTAACAAGGTTATATGATGGAGAGTAGGATGTTTTGATTGCTCTTAAATGGAGAGTAAACTTTCTTTTAAATTAATTTTATCGGTACATTTAAGCTACATAATATAATGACATTTATTTTTGGAAATTTGTACCTTTACATAATCAGTCTTGGTTCTTATGTTTTCCTCATCCCCCTGCCCTCCCTTCAACACCCTGCTGCCTCCATATCTACAAATCTTCCATTACTTTTTATATTTTTTGTTTTTTGGTGTTTTTGAGATAGGGTCTCACTATGTAGTTGCAACTGACCTGGAATTCACTATGTAGTCCAGGCTGGTCTCGAACTCACAGCGATCCTCCTGTCTCGGGCTCCCGAGTGCTGGGATTACAGGTGTGCTCCACCACGCCCGGCCATTACTTTTTATATTAATTCCATTCCCAGAGCTGATTATGTCTGCTCTCCACCACCCTCCTCTTCCCTCCCTGAACCCCAAACTGAAAGTGCAGCAATGCGGAGGGGAGTTGCAACTTCTTTACTCCAAGCAGCCGTCATCAGAGTTTATGTTGAGAGAAAAGGAAGGTAATCATATTTATGTCCACTTTGTAATGGAAGTTTAATTTGGGCAAATGAAGCTCCAATAATGGAAATGAACAGGAATTTATGGTTAGTGTGAAATTTCTTTAAGGACTACAAGAATGAGCTTTCACACACAAATGTTGGAAGCCTTAATGATAATAGAAAATATAACCATTTTCTGCCTTTTTTTTACCTTTATAAGAAATTTAATAGTTAAGAACAATAATATGTAGTAAATACTACAACGTAAACTCGTTTTAAAATGTCCTATTTAAAATGAAACAAAATTTAGTTTCTTTGGGCGCAAAGTAAGTATTATATTTTGAGGATTTGACATTACAAAGAATGAAAACCAAATATAGGATTATAGCTCTATAATTGTTCTATTTTGCTCCTTCATTCTGATTATGATGTCTTTTTCAGAGGATGACAGCTGACCAGTCCAATTCATACTGAACTTGCATCCATACGGGGCAGAGGCTTCAGAGGCTGTGATGCCAGCTGGCTGCTCTACACTGTCCACTGTAAATACGAACATTTCCCCAGTACTGCTTTCAGTCACAGTGAGTTCTTGTTTATAAGGAAATTTGCTGGCAGTCGAATTCTGGCACTTTCCCAAGCTGCTGTTTGAAGAGGATGCTGAGGGCCATCACTACACAGCATTCTTCAATATAAGGACTCTTTGGTTCACCAATTCTAGCACACTTCCACAATATGCCCAATAATCGAACTTTATTTTGCCCAGGAGGCTGGGTGTCAGGAATTGGATATAAGCACAGGTACACATAAGCAGCACGGTTGCAGTCCAGAAACTCTGAAAACTGAGGGTGCACATGGGAACGCCAGCATTAGCCAGGGCAGAAGCAGCATGCATGCCCTTCCCGCCCTTATCACTGCACTGTCTGTTACACTGTTGGTGAGCTGTCCTACACGATTAACCAAAAAACGGAGACACAATACTGCAACCCGCACAAATCTACTAAGGAGTCACAAAGCACCAATTTAAAATATAATTCCATAGAACTTTATTTTATTTAAATTTCATCTAGTTTCTCAGTTTTGGCAAACTATGGATTCTTTCAACCAAGTTTCTGATTTAACAAAGTAAACTGATCTCTCAGTTTACAACATGTAACTCGAGCCCTCAGGCCTTTGCCAGATTTAAGAAGTCCTTTTTATCACCTAGACCTATTCTGTTCCTATAAGGTTCTTTTAAAAGAACTACTATTTTTAGAAATTCATCTAAGAAACGTCTCATCCCTATCTTACTTGAGTTGTACCTTTAGATCAAGCAGTAGATGTGTACATATTTCCTTTAAAATACTGTCCTCAACTTCAAACTTAGCTATACTTACAGGTGATTTTGTCTCTATTATAAGAAGTGATTATATAAAGTTCCCTCATAGTTTTTAGTAAAAATATTGCTGATATTCCTCAGTGCATTGCCAAGTGTTATTTGCATAAGCAAAATTTCTTTATCAACTTAGTGGCAGAAAATATATTTTCTTAATATCTTTCTTTTTAATAGTGAGAGTTATATGACTTTGTTATATGCCAGAACGTTCAAAACCAAATTTACATTTTTGTAAGTGCAACTGTCTTGCACTCTACCAGTGAGCTACACCCCCAGTCCCTGTAAGTACAATTGTCTTAAACAAAATGAAGAACATATTTGCATTTTACTTTTTCTTGAATGTGATTACTCCTTTATTAATTTATTTTATGCTTTGGAGGAGTGTCTATTTGTAAAGAGAATACAAATAAATAAACTTGGGTCTTATCCCAGAAAGAGTCTGTTCATAAGACTGCAAGTTAATTCTCTAACATGAAATTTATTAATCTTAGGAGAGTTTATTGAGCTAATTGCAAAAAACTGAGAATTAAAATGGCTCCAAAAGTGTTGTGTTCATTCAGCCACTGGTTTAATTGTATTAATATTTGTATTATATTTTCCCATACACTGAAAAATAAAGGATTGTTTTAGCATTATTATTAGTATTAGTTAATTCTATCTCTGGCTTTTAGTCTGTATATCATTAAATTAATGAAAAATGATCTCTATTATTGTGAAGACAGTTATAGCAATTGCAGAATATCTTATAGAAGAACAGAGAAAACGAATCACATTTTAACTAAGAACATAAAACAAAAAAATGGGGAGCAGTAACAGTAGTGACAGCTTGCTCTCCAGCATCAGGTTTATTTTTAATTTTAAAAAGTTTATGGATCTGAGGATTAAGCCCCGGGCTTTCTACTTGCCAGGCAAGCATTCTACCACCAAGGTACTCCCCAACTTTTAACATAGGGAAGGTTCTCATGCCTTCCTCCTGAGACAGAAAGTTTAATTAGCTATATCAATGCTCTCTGTTTTCTCAGCATAAACAAATTAAGATACATGGATACCTTCAAAACTATACATGATGGAAGGAGATGGATCCACAAATTACAACATCTGTTATTACTCAAATAACTAGTTCATTTACTCATTTAATAATATTGTTCAGTCTGTAACGTATACTTTCATAAACTAACCAATAAAAACATTGCGTTAGTATCAGCAAGATGTAACCCAGGTATAACTGTGAGGGACTCCAAAAATCAACCAGGTTATTATAGACAGCCATGTATTATCAAGCACAAAAGAACTTGAAATAAGCTAGGGGATGGTTAGTTAGTAATAAAAGTTATCTGTGACTAGCCACACTGGCACTGCACTTCTGTGGCTTGCAGTTATCAGATGTTCATTGTAGTAAAATTGTTAAGTGTAGGAAATAATTTGCTGGCTGATAAAAATGCCTGTGGTCAATTTGCTGTTTCATTTGTTATGAAATGTAACATATCTACTGTGGGTTTCCAAGAGACTCAAATTCACACATACATTTTTGCGGTTTCTTCTGCTATTACACAGAATAGTACAAATGATTGATTCATGCCTGATGAGAGTAACCCTGGAACATTTTCTTCACATTATGGTTCAGAACAAAGGCATTGCAGAAATGACCAGCAAAAGTGGCAACAAGATATATCAATCTTTGAGGAAAGACTTTTTCCCTAAGATCCATTATTTTCCTCTGGAGATCAGTTAATTTTGAAATGATTGGCTTAGCTTTTTTTATCCTACAACTCCAAGAATATTTTTTTTTTTTTTTTTTTTTTTTTTTTTTTGGTATGGGGATTGAACTCAGAGCCTTGTACTTGTGAGGCAGGCACAGTGCCAGTGAGGTGAATCCCCAGCCAAGAATAATTTCAATAAAATGTCTAAATACATGAAATGTTCCACTAGCACATACTTTATGGTTCATTTACCTTTTTTTATCATTTAAAAATTTCTACTAAAATGTCATAAAATTTGTTAATGTATTCTGTAATGACTTTTCAGGAGCCTGAATGAAGGCCATTACAATGGACAGACATATTTATTATTAAATTTTAATGTTTCAACTTTCTCTATTTAAATATCCTTAATTTCTGTTTTTCTCATTATCTAGAAGAAATATCCTATCCTTATAGGATTCTTAAAAAAAAAAACAAGAAAGAAATCTCATTTTCTGCATCCATATTGCTACTCTATGTCTACAAAACTTTAGGGATATATAAAGAATTTATTTAATTCAGAATCTTTATTTTGTGAAAGAAAAAACAAAAAGCCATGATATTTTCTTAAAATGACTCTAGGAAGTTTTGTTCCAAAGTTTCACTGAAGAGGAATCTGTTTTCTTTCAAGAGTAAAATAATAATTAGCATTTTAATAGAACATGAATATCAATAAAATACAGTATTATTAAGTCACTGTAATATTTAATTTACAAATATTTTGTTTTTAAAAGAATATGTAAAAGCAATTTAATTTCAAAACACAGGCATTTTACTATGTTAATGTTACCTCTATACTTCCCAAATGAGTAGAGAGAAATCTTTGATTGTACACTGAATGACTTCAAGTAAACAAATGTGCATCCTAAGTGGTCTATTAACTCTAATATGAACCTTATTTCTCTCTAGCACCAAGTACAGTCTGGGGATTCAGACACTGCTAAGCATAATGCCAATTATTGGCAGCATAATCCCACACTCATCATAAATCTCAACTTCTGCATCTGTTCAGGTGACTCAGAGGCTAAATGAATATGTAGTGGAATTAAACAGGATTTATTTGTTTTTATTATGGTGATTTTTAAAGGGCTGATCATACATATACTCTTCTCTCCTTTCCACATATATGTTTAAAAACCTATTTATACTAGTAACAAGATTCTTGTCTGTTAAGAATTCACAGTTTACTAAAGGGACACAAATAAAAATTTTGGTATAGTGGGTTAATACTACGATACCATGAAAACATACATTAGAAGCACTTGATCTGTTTTATGGGTATTACAAAAGGCAATTTTATAATTATACTTGAAACAACACACATGTGAAAATGTTTTTCACATTTTCATACAGCATGTGAAAAATTTGTTTTCCTTTTTTTTTTTCCTCAATGAGTGTATTGGTACTTTTTAGGTATACAGTACAGTTACATTTATCATTGGGATCTTGTACCTTTACATGACAGGTCTTGGTTCTCACTTTTTGCCTTATCCCTGCCCTCCCTTCACCCCGTCCTCCCTTCCCTATTTACAAACACTTTATTTCCAGTTTTTTCATTTTCTCATTTTTTTTCTTTTCCTTTATTACCTTTCTCCTACCCTTCCCACTTTCCCTACACTTTTAGCCCTTTTCTTTCTATTTCACATTGTCAATTATATCATTAGGATCTTATGTACCATTATAGTTTTTCACACCAGAGAAACTATTCAGTATTTATACATGTGTGACTTATTTATTTCACTTAGGAGTATATCCTCAAAATGTATCCATTTTCCTATGAATGACTCTAATTTCTTGTTCTTTATGGCTGAGTAGTATTCTATTTTATAGAAAAACCACATCTTCTTTAGCCAGTCTATACTATACTTTCCATAAATAAAACTGAGTTATCTGATAAGTCCGATATGTTAGTATTTGTAAATAACTTGACTTTTCCAGTAGAATGATGCCATGAAATTTTAAGATGCACTCTTCTAATCTCTATTGTATTTTCAATGGTTTACTTTTAATTTTTTATTTAGAAAAAAAATTTTAATATATCTTCTAGAAAGGGAAAAATGTCTTTCAGGTTCCACATTTATACATGACAATTCTTAAAGACAGCTTATTTATAATTAATGCAAAAGGAAAACTTTTGTTACATGCATGACACAGTGGAAGACATGTCAGGTTAGTTTTAAAAATAGTGGTGTTCATCTTCGTGTGATGGTTCATTATATGATTTTGACTAAGCCATTTAACTTAATTAAACCTCAGTTACTTCCCTGGAAACATAAGGAGGCTGAGTGGAATGACTCTGAAAATTCTTTCTAGATTTAAACCTCTGACCTTTCTGAAAATTCTGCCCTATGCTAATTTAAAAAATGGATTTTAAATTCCTACTCCAGGAAAGTGTTTATGAATTATTTTTGCTCTTGATCCCTATAAAATTTGTCTTTGTTCTCTTAGATGCCAAAAAAATTCTCTTCTGTACTAGCCAAGACTCGTCAGGCTGGTTCTGCTTGGATCATCAGTGACTTCTTTCTTCACCTCAATCCAGCCTACAGAGTCACCGATGGGGCTGAGAGAACCACTGACTGCAGTCGTCCATCTCCGCAGGGCTCTTCCTCCTCAGACAGCAATGTATCCGTAAGTTCTCTTCTCTTTTCTTCCTCACAGTAACTTGTTTACAGGGACATGAACTACACCAGAGAATATGTAGATCTCCAATTCATGTATTTACTATTTAGCATAGAAAAATATTTTTTATATTTTACACAACATTATGTGAAGAAGTAGTCTTGAATTCTTTCCATATTGGTGATTCCTCTCCTCTTCTGTCCCATCCATTGCAGTGTTTCCTCAGAGGGGCTTTACAATGTGGAAAGGTATAGTACATGGTGTTGTGGCTGCTGCCTTTTGGTCTCAAAAAGAATAGAATGTGTTTTTAACTTGGACTTTATCTGACTTTATTCTTATTTCAGAAGATATTTGTGAGAAAAATATAAATTTGAAACCATGCAAATCAAAATTATGTTTATTTCTGTAGGAAAATAGCTTAAAATATAAAAATTATAGATATTTTGAAAAAATAAATAATTCACGAGGATTGTACAACTAAATTATCCTAGTCAGGTTTTAAAAATAAACCCAGTCAGATACTTCTCTGTTGTTCTCTTTAATAGCTAGAAACTAACTACTAACAGGGTTTTAGTGTATTAATTTGGACTCAGAATAATTTTATCTTCAGATTGAAATTTATCTTCTCTGACATACTGATGTATCATTTTAATTAATTTATAATCTGAGAAGAAAAGTGTTTGAAAATGTAAAACTTCTAATGGAATCTGTAGTCTTCCTCTAGGAGGGAAAAATAGGTTCTGTCACTAACAGATGTTTAACATGTTTTTTGTTTTTTTTTTTAGTGGAATTACGTACATGTTTTTTAAGAGAAGTTTAATGCTATTTCATAATATTACAGATTTAGCCAGAATTCTCCAGGCTCCGTGCATTTGTAAGCACTCCTCTATAATCCATAATGGCTTTGTGTCCTACTTTCTTTCCCTTCATTATCTTTTAAGACTATTACTTAAGAAAACAATCCTTCAAGAAAACTTGCATTGAGCTCAGTACAGTACATAAATATATTCTAGGCCTTGTCTATGTTAGATTTAAGTGAGTCTATATTTGATGTAAAGTCTGTACATATTTAGATGAAGATGAAGGGAATATTCAAATGAAACAAAATATGCAATTTTAATTTCTAGTTAAGAACTTTCTTTCGAAGTATATCCCATGTTCCACATGTTAGAGTCAGTAAATTCTAAGAATTTTTTCTTAGAATTTTAATAATTCTAATTATTAAAAGTTCTTATTAAAAGTAGAGATGTTTGGCTCCTATCCCAGAAATTCCAGTGAATCTCTGGATGAGGCCTAGCAATCTTATTTACAACATTTATACAATGTAATTCTTACTCATTCTAAAGTTTGAGAAGAGCTAATATGGTGTGGATATAAAAAAACAAAGGAGTCCGGGCATGGTGGCACAAGCCTGTAATCCCAGCACTCAGGAGGCTGAGGCAGGAGGATCGCTGGGAGTTCAAGACCAGCCTGGGCTAGTTCCAGGTCATTCTCAACTACATAGTGAGACACTGTCTCAAAACAAAACAAAACAAAACAAAATGGAACTTGTAAGGTTGAAAGAAATTAAAGTATGAATGAAATAACTCCAGTTTTGAAAAGAAATCACCTTTTGTTTTATTTAAATTGGCATAATAATATATTAAGGGGAGGTGCTGTCTCCTTAGTCACCTTCCCCTCCAGGGAAGAAAAGTATCATTTATGCTGCATAGTGGCGATTAAGGAAGTGCGGGTACTCTGAAGGTAAAGAAATTGAAGGAAGGACACATATTATTTTGGTGGTTTGTGCCAAACAGGGAGGCTAGTCCTAAATCCCCCCCCTTTTTCTTAAATTTATTGGAAAATGCAGTTCAACAAGCCAAGACCAAATGCATATCTAAACACTACAACAACTTCTGTTACTAAAAAAAGGCCAAAACAGCAGGCCTAATTATTGCCTAAGTATTTTGCCAATTTGATTCTGCTGCTATTCCTATTTTTTAGAGATACGTGAAGTACTTTATGTGATTCATAATTTTAAAAAACTTTACAAAGCTCTTTCATTTTTGTCATCAAAATAATACATTTGAGAGATTTGTAAAAATGAGCATCCTGGGGGCTGAGATCCTGGGCAGAGATTTCCCACGAGAATCAAGGGGTCCTGGTCAGACTATAGCTCTGGCTCTTTCCCAAGACGAAGGTGGCCACACCCACAGTGCTTTCCCAAGGTGATGGTGGGCTTTTCACCCCCTCTGCTTGGTGTCCACCAGGGTACAGTGGTGGCTTGGGGGAGCTGTGGTGAAGGTGCCTGACGGTCCTTACATTTAGGTTCCCGGAGCCCTTGGCTTATGAATGTGGTTCTTCCTTTGTGGGCAGGTGGCAGAGATCTCATGTGGTTTGAAGGAAATTTTTATTTCTAAAGTAAAAATAAAATTACAGTGAAGTACTGTGGTATGCCTGAGTCACTTTAGGAAAACTTCAGTCAAGTCTCTGGCCCCAGATTTTCTTTAAAAATCTTTTAGTTTACAGAATAAAAAAATCTCCATGTAAAATTGATGTGGCAGTGTCATCCCCTGATAGGACGCTATGGTGACATTTGGACACTGCATTGAGGAATAGGACAAGAATTGCTTCATGATTGTGCTACACATATTTAACGCATACTCATTTCTTTTTCAACTGTGATCCGTCCTTATCCACGTAACAACACTGCGTAAGTTCTCACTGTGTCGTGAGTCCTGTGTGGATTCACATCATGTAGATCATGTAGTACTTTATAAAGTAGTATTTTATTGAATTTTGGTCATACTTTCAGAAGTATTTATCATTATCACTCCTTTTAAAAAATAAGTGGACTATGGCTCAGATTATCTGAGCTTATTAAGTGTTGGTACCAGAATCCGAACCAGGCCTTTGTCGTTTTAAAATCTAAGTTTTCCCTTTTCCTCCTTGTCTCCTCCAAGTGGGAGCTAACAGTGGAGTCTTTGGAATGTTTATACTATAAAAGAAAATTAGACAACATAAACACACATATGTACATTGAGAAAATATGAGGATGTAGGCAAATAAACAGAGAATATGGAGATTGATATGAAATTGTGCACATATATTCTGGTTGGAGAAAAAGCAGGTGCATAATTTTACTTTTATTTGTGGGCTTTCAATACGTTTTGAAGAATGCACCTAGTGCCTTACTTAATTTTCTTAAAAGCACCTTTGTATTTAAATAAGTCATACATGTGACCTAACTTCTGCACTATGTCAAAAGTAATCAGTGATTGACTCTACAGCAGATCAATTACACCATCCCTGTTCTCTGAAAAGAGATTACAACATTTTCTATATTGTGAAAATTGAGTTTATCCTAGTGCAACCTTTCTTGGAGCTAATTCAATGGTCAGGCATAAATGTAACTAATGGAGCTTTGTTATTCCATCTTTGTTTTCTGTTTTCTCTAAAAATACGTCACTGCCTCAAAAAGAATAAAGAGATTCACTCAGAAAAAGTAGCACTTTTTAGGCATCCAAATTAGCACTGACACTTATACGCACATCTGATAGCTTTACAGGCTTGAGCATGGGGTGAGCTGAGCAGCTGTGGAGCAGGTCTTCTGAGATGGTCCGTGAGTGATGAGCCAGAAAATCGCACTTGTTTTATGGCTGTGTCAAGGTGAAGGCTTCATGAAACTTCGTTAAGAAATTTTCCAGGAATGCTCCCCTGGGTCTTCTCTTTCTGAAGATATGGATGAGATTGTAAGGAATGGTCTTACACAGTCAGGCAATCAGTTTGACATCCGTGGACTAGAGAGTGGGAAGGGCTCGATGACTGAGAAACAAAAATGGGCCTCAGGGAGATGCCGTGTATGTCACTCTACACCATCATTCTCAGAGGCTCCCATGTGTGGGTGATTTCTGAGATTTTTTAGAATAAAAATTTTTAGATGACAGAGCTAGTCTTAGGAGAATCCAAAACACCATAGTATCATTAAATTATAGTTATAATCTTTTATCTGAAGCTGTCAGATAATGTCTTTTCTGAAACTATGAAAGCAGACTCAGAAGTATTTAGCACTTTGTATAAAGTTGGCTGTGAGTCAGTGCAGGCCAAAATAATTATTGCTATCATTTGCTTCAAACATACTATGGGCCACCTATCCTCCTAAAACATCATATATGTTTAATCTTTATAACCAGCTCTGGTTATATTATTATACCCATTCTACAGATGAGGAAATTGAGATTCAGACAGACACCATTTTTGCCCAGGGGTAATACATGGAAGAACTGGGAATTAACCAAGGTCTTTCTGACTACGGAGATGATGTTTTTAATCACTGTGCTATACCTTCTTCACTCTGTCTCTTTGGTTTACACAGGTTATTTTACTACTCTGGTTTAATTGTGTTAATGTGTTAAAATATGTAAAATTTACATTTTCGAGGAATAATATTATTATTCCATACATAATCTTTGAAATCAATCAGTCTTTGAGAATGGTAGACATCTGCATTCTATCTGCATTCTACAAAGTAAAGGAATAAAACACTCCAAGATCAGATAATTTGCATGTGACCACAGGAATGGTGAGTCAGTTGGTATCAGAGGTAGAATCTGTGTTCCCAGAACACCTGTGTACTGAGTTCACTATAGTCAAATAGAATACAGATGACCACGTGCCCTAAGAAGTATCGTTATCATTATTACTAATACCATTCTATTTGTATAAAATATATGGCCCTTTTGTAATTGACAAAAACTGTATTTATCATGTACAGCATGTTGTTGAATATATATATATATAATATGTTATAAAATATAAATTTATAAACATAAAATATCATATATCTATTAGAATGGCCAGATTGAGCTAATTACCATACACATTACCTCCAGCAGATTTTTAATGTTGTTATTATTTTTCAGGGACATATGCATTGTTATCTGTTATCCCCATGTTGCACAGTAAACCTCTCAGACATACTCCTCCTGGCCAACTGAAATTCTGTACTGTAATGTCATTTCTTGTGTGCT